TTAGCAGGGTGGCAAAAACGGCAGACTCCCAGGCCACCCTAGACCGGTTACCAAACTGATGTGGGCACGGGCCTGTTTGCAGATCGCAGTGGAGAATGGTTTCGGGGGCGTGCACAGCCAGGAGAAGGCCGAGTGGCTGGAAAGTGCAGTGGAAGATTACTTCATCTGCAATGGTGAGTGTGTGTGCGTAGCTGCGATCTGTGTTGTTGGGGCGTGGAGAGAAAAAGCCCCATTCTGGATAGCACTTCCTCCTGAGCAATTTCAGTTGGTACCTGAAGGCCAGGTGAATTTAATGCAGGCTTTGGAGTCAGAATTCAGGCTTTGAACGCCGTACGGACTGGGCCACTGAATCATGCTATCGCCCTGGACAAGGCATTTTATTTTCCTGAGATTCAGTTTCCTAGTTCCTAAAATGAATATGAAAGTATTTACCCCAGTGCTGTCCAGTAGAATGAGTCATATTATGTAACTTAAAAATTGGTGGGCCAGGGGTGTAGCTCAGGGGTAGAGGGTTTGCCTTAGAATGCTCCAGGCCCTAGGTTCCATCTCCAGCACTGCAAAATTAACAAATAGGAAACATTCCCTTTTTAAAAAAGAAAAAGAAGCCAATGAAACTAATGTTATTCAACTAATATCCAAAATATTTCAGTATGTCATACATGTAAAACGTTATTGAAATATTTTACTAAAGTGTTTTCAAAATCTGTTATTTTACAGTTTTAGCACATCTGAATTTGGCCTAGACACATTTCAGTTGCTTTGCAACCACAGGTGGCTATTTGGGTAATAGAGATCTACACCTTAGGCTTGTTTTGAGGGTTATACAGAACAAAGAGCCAAGTACTGTAGGAGGCTTGTTGCCTACTATGGTTTTTACAAAGTTCTTCATTTTCTAGCCTGGGAGATGACATATGGCAGAGTTATTTCTTAAGAAAGTTTACTGTCTAGTGAGGGATTCAGACAAGAAAATGGATAATTACAACACTGGGTGATAAATGTTGTGATAAAGAGGAGCTAAGAGTTCTTGGGGTAAAATGAGCCAGAGGAGAAGGCCTCTCAGGGGAAGGGTGCTGGGTCTGGGTCTTAAGGGATGAAAAAGGAGTTACCTGGGTTGGGGAGGCAGAGAAAGCAGTATGAGGAAATAATGTGTTATATTTGGACAGTGATGGAGGACTCTGTATTGTAAGGGTGTGGAGGTGGGGGTGGAAGAGTGGTAGAGAATACCCACTGGGGCAGGTAGGGAGACCCTCCTCCTCCGAAAAAGTAAGACATAGAAGGCCTTATGTGCTTTTGATGTCATCCTTTAGGGCAGTGTTTGCCAAAATGCATACTATGGAAGATGTGTCCAGTTAGATGTTCAGTAAAGAAAAAGCTTTTTCACTCAAATTATATATGTTCTTTTCTTCAGCTCCAACTTAAGTCACATAACACTCATGAACATATTCAAAGCATGAATAAGGACAAGAACCAGTAAAGAGAAACCTATTTGCCTTTGTTTCTTTCTATGTACAGCTTCCCTTAAAACCCAGCAGAAAAGATGTTTCCCAAAGGCAAACTATGAAGCACTACAGTAGGTAGTGTAGGTAAAAATTCCTGGGCAGGTTCTAAAGTGAGTAATAGGATGGGATTTACTGACTAAAAAGCTCAGAAAGTAATCAGTGTAGAGCATGTAGTGAAGAGGAAAAGAGTGATGCAAAGGCTGTTTTGGTCTTAAAATGAGGAAGACTGAAGTAGGGCAATAACAGTAATCATGGGAAAGGAGGGGTGGATTAAGGCATTGGAGAGTGCTTGGCTGTAGAGGAGGGAGGAAAAAAGAGACTAGTTTTTGGCTTGAGTGGCTGGGTGGAGTAGGTGCCTTTCGTGGACTAGCAGAATCCTGGAGGATGAGATGCAGGTTTACAGGGTAAAGTGATAAATCTGACTTTGGATATGGGGGGGAGGGAGGCTGAGGGCCCTGGGAAACATCTGGGCACACAGGTAGTCTCAGTTGGAGACAGATTAGGTTTGTTTGAGTGATAGGGAAAAGCAAGGGGATGGATGAGCTCTCTCAGGGAGAGAATATAGGAGGAAGAGAGGGTGAAAAGCTTTGTAGAAGACTTTCTTGAGTTATTCTCTAATTCAGAAAAGGTAGAAAGCATGGGACTACAAGATACCTGAAGCCCAGACAGGGGGGCTTGACTAGAGCCCCGCAATAGAATGTTGGTGTCAAAGTTATGACGATTTCATTATTGGAAGTAACATATCCATTTCTTACCTATCCCATTAGTCTGTGGTCTCCTGTATCAGTGGAGCCACACTTGGTGAAGGGTCTTCAAAATGCTTCAAAAACTTCTGCCCTTGAGTGATGGAAATTAACATGGATTAGGGATATCTCTGTGTCAGGCATTGTGTTGGATCACTGCTTATAACAGACCTTCGAGGAAGCCACTACTATTTGCCCTACTTTACAAATGAGTAAACAGGGCCAGAGAGGTATAAGTAGCTTGCTCAAGATCACATAGAGGGGTACCCAGTTAGAATAGCCTAGATGAAAGAGAGCACTTTAGTGAATAAAAGGTTCATTGTTTGGTGTTTTTACTACCATCCAGGTATGGACCCAAGTAGGTATTGAAGAGTAGTGGGCAGGGGTAATGAAATTGGCTGGTCTTTGACCAAAGGATCCTGTCTTCTACTACTCAGCTGACTTGGAACTAGATGAAGTAGAAGACTTCCTCGAGGAGCTGATGACCAATGAGTTTGATACCATTGTGGAGGATGGGAGTCTGCCCCAGGTAAGCTTACTATGGACATAACTGCCGTTTCCCTGAGTGGTGTCTTTATTCTTCTCAGCTGTCTGTTTTGAACCAAGTCTCTTGGCTGTAACCATTCTTCTCTTGACCCTTCTAAGACTCCCTATTGCTACAAGAAATCTAAATCTTGCCTTCCTTTTATTTCTGTCCATGCATCATTCCCATCCAGGCTTGTTCCCCACCCCTTTCCCACTGGCAGTTTGGGCCAGATAGATTTCTACCCCTGCTCTGGTTGACAGTGTTTCCCCCGATGAAATAACTTTCCCTGTTACATCTTCTGTCTTTCAAAGCCCAGTTCTAGTGCCTTCCTTGCCAGCAGGCCCTCCTTCAATGCTTCAGGCCCTCAGCTGAGCCCTTCATATGTAGTTGTTTGATTGGTGAACTTCTTAGGAAAGAACTCCATACTCATCTGGAAAACTCCAACCCCCTCCCTACTTGTGCTGTAAACACAAGCTGGTTGTATAGTAGATTGTATGGAAAATCCAGGTTTGTTGAAATGTTTTCTTGGTAGGTGAGCCAGCAGCTACAGACTATGTTCCACCACTTCCAGAGGGGTGATGGGGCTGCTCTGAAGGAGATGGCCTCCCACATCACCCAAAGAAAGTGCAGAGCCACTGCACTTAAGACAGCCAGAGAGACCAATGAGGATGAAGACGATGCAGACAGTGTGGAAGAGATGGAGGTGAAGGGAATGCCCCTTGGGTGAGGGGATACAAATGATTTCAATTTTCTGTGAGAACAGCTAGATTCACAGGGAAGTTGTTCTACGTGGTATTATCTAAAGAAGAATAGGTCATATAGCCAATTCTTGAAAAGTTGGGAGCAGAAACTGGGTCTCCAGTGGCCAATGTATTTAGCACTGTCTTGTATTTCCCCTCCAGGTCACAGCTACGAATGATGTGGCTGCTCTGCAGCCTGAAACTTCTGATTCAAACTCTCAGACTATTAAGGAAGAGGATATAGTGGAAGATGGCTGGACCATTGTCCGGAGAAAGAAATGATTGGGGCCGGAAATGTTTTGGGCCTTTGTTGGCTAAGACGTATTTTTAGGGGCTTTTTTGGAGGGCTGTAAACCTCTGGACTGGATACCCTATCCCCATCTCCTCTCCTGCTCCCCTGTTTAGCTCCCTCCAGGGGAGGAAAAGTCCTGCCATCCTCGGTTGTAGGGGTGATAGCACCTGTCTACCACACCCTCTCAGGCTGTCAGTGACTACAGGTTACCTAGTGTAGTGCCTTTTGGGTGCAGTCAGTGTGAAGAGGGGAAGAGTGAGTGTGGTGTGGCTGAAGAAGGAGCTAGACTGGTAGACAGTGGGTAGGTGGATTTGTGGAGAGGACCAATACTTGGGCACCAGGGGCTGGCTGGTTCAGGAATGGTGAAAACATGCAGATAGAAGAGAATATTTGAAGATGTGAACAAAAGTAGCTGTTCCTACCCACCACACACACAGCAATTCCTATCTCTGCCCAGATCTTGGAACCTCCCAGGAATGCTAAGACCTTGGCTAGGTGGTAAGGTTGGAAGAGTTGGGGTGTTTTCTGTTTCCTCCAACCTCTTACCTCACTCTTTCTTCCATCCCATTTAAGTCAGGGATGAGGCTTACCGTCTTAATAAATAATACCTTCTTGTTTAATCTGTAGCTTGACCTGTAGCATGGAATCGGTCTTCTGGGAACTGAGTTTCAGAGTTCAGTGCAAGAATGATTTCTGGGCCTACCCTAGTAGCCTAGTAATTTGGACAAACACAGATGGACAAATGGAGCACAGTAGTGCTCTGAAAGTTACTGTAAGCCTGAAATAAATTGTATTTTTTAAAAAACAAAACAGAGTATCCATTGTCCCCCATTCCCCTGTCCTGCCCAGTGGCCCTGCCATGGGTCTGGACGATAAAATACTGGGTAGCCTTGGGGCTGAGTAGAAGCTATAAGCCATGGGAGAGGCAAAAGGGCTCTAGTTACCACCCCATGTAAAGTCATAACATGTGAAGACACTGGATGAGGCAGGGCTGAGTCAGGGCCCCAGGTTCAGTGGCCGAGCTGGCACTTGAATCCAGGTCTTCTGCCTCTGGTGCTTTTGGGGGGAATTGGGTAGAAGCAGGATCTGTGGAGTGTTGGCGGATGGAGTAGAAAAAAACCCTAATTCAAGTGGGTCTAGCAGTAGCTCCCACCTTCCCTGGGGACAGGATTTTTAAAAAAATTAACGTCAATGTACGAATATTTTTTAAAAGCCCACGTTTTGTGAAAAGATGAATTAAAAAACCCAAGACCCAGCATTCAGGATTGAAAGTGCCCGTGATGGGAGTTCAAGTATTGATTGAGCTGGGGAGGGAGGGGTCTGGAACCCTCTACTGGACATGGGCAGCTAGAGTGTGGGGTTGGGGCTCCAGCCCCCCCCCCCAGCCCTCTAGGTCTTATCTTGGGTCTGGGGGGTCTCAGGTGGCTCAGCAGTGGCTCCTGAAGCTGCCACTGTGCCCTCTTCCATCTCCCTGTCCTCAGACAGTGTGGGCCTTGGGCAGAACGTGTCCCCACGGCCTGCCCGGCCAAGCACAGCCATCCAGCGCCGCTGGAGCTCTTCTGTCTCAGGGCTGAAGTACCAGCTTAGGTGGCTCTGGGTGATCTTGAAGACATGCCTTCTGTCAGGTCTCTCCCCTGCCTCAGGAGGCCCCACCTCGAAGCCAATGAGGGGCAGGCTGCGCTGGGCTTTCACATCCTAAGGAGGAGGGACAAGAGTTGGGGTCACCAGAGGACTGAATCTTCTGCCCCAGCTTCTAATGATTTTTAATCTGCTCCCCTCTCTTCTGCTCAAGAACATTCCTTGTCTTAATAGGAAATTGAACTGGGGCTAGAATCCAGGCTGGTTCAAATACCATCTCATCCCACGTCTAAAACCAGCTGGGCCAGTCTCTTAATGTTTTCAGGTCTTTAGGCTATTGCTCCTGTCTGTATGCTCTACTCAAAATTAGACCTAGCAGAGCCCTGCCTCCATCCCTGTTTTCTTCAAAATGCCAGCCCCCCCAACTCATCTATTTTCCCCACATGCTTTGTGGGGAATACAATCAGTCCTTGACTAGTCTGTTGTCATACAAGGGTAGTGGTTCTGATTTCCCCTAAGGTAGAGTTAGGTGTTTCTTATCCCCCAGAGGGTCAAGGACTGTAGGGAAACGGGGCAGTCTGGTTTTGTCAGCTGGCTGAAAGGACCCAAAGGAGTAGAATACATACCTGAGGGGCTCCGTAGATGTACAGCACCAAGGGTTCATTCTCAGGGACCACGAACCATGCCTTGTGCCATCCTTTCCCACCCTTCTCCATGTAGTGTAGGAAGCTGCAGATGATGCTGTTCTCTGCAGCTACAGAGGCCTGTTTCTGTGGCCAGAGACATGGGGAGGTAAATGTTGAGAGAAGGCCTAGCATAGCTCCTCTTGGCTTAACTAGCCTTTTAGTATATGGATAGCTATTTCCATGTCTCAAATGAAGACAGTGAAATTCAGGTTGCAGGGATGATCTGCCCAGCTTTACCTGATAGAGTTGAGATTCAAAGCTTAGGCTTGTCTGATTGACTTGGGCCATGGCTGCTGCCTCTATAAGCTAGAGGAAGTGTACAGATTTCAGCAGGGGCATCCAAGTACCAGCCAGACACCTTCAGTCAGCCTGTTTATTCCTCAGGTCATTCATATAGTCACACCTCATCTTTTTTCATCTTTTATCACACATCCATTGCCTACACTAAGTGAACGGCAGTCTAGGATTGTGGTTTAAGGAGGAGGGTAGGTGAATGCAGTCTGGCTCAGAATCCCAGCTCTAGGTGAAAATGTAGACTTGGAGAGAACAGAGGGCTGCTATGAGGATTAAATGAATTATTATATCCAAAGCATTTAGAATAGTTTTTGGCACAGAGTAAGCACTCTTTAAGTGTTAAATAAATACATTTGTTTAACCTCAAAATGTGTGCCTGAACATGTTCCTAGAAAGAGGAAGGAAAAGTGTTAGCAGTGGAAACTTCTGGGCAGAAGGAATATAAAGTTTTATTATTTTTTGTTTATGCTATCCTACTTAGCTTACTTGGTAATAAAAGGCAATTTGTTAATTTAAAAATAGCTTAGAGCCAGGCAGTGTAGTACCATCTATTGGGGAGTCTGCAGAGGGAGGAATGCTTTAAGCCCAGGAGTTCAAGGCCAATCTGGGCAACCTAACAAGACCTGGTCTCAAAAACAAACTAGCTGAGCATAGTGGTGCATGCATGTCATCCTAGCACTCTGAGAAGCTGAGGTAGGAGTATTCCAAGTTAGCCCAGCCTGGGCAACTAAGTGCTGAGGATGTAGCTCAGTGCAGAGGCTCTGGGTTCAATCTTCAGTACAATGGGAAAATTTATTTTTTATTTTTTGTTTTTTTGAGACAGGGTCTCACTATGTAGTTTAGGCTGGCTTTGAACTATGTAGCCCCAGGCTAGCCTCGAACTGGCAATCTGGCTGCTTCAGCCTCCTGAGTACTGGGATTTCAGGCATGTGCCACCATGCATGGCAAAACATTTTTAATAAAAAACCAAAAAACTTAGCTTTGTCACTCATTAACTGGGTAACTTAGACAAATAACCTCTCTGGACATCATTTTCTTGATTGGTACATTAGTTACTATGAGGACTATTTGAGTAAAGCACTTAAAATTTACTGCTTTTCATTCACTCGTGCACTCATTTTACTCCAAGCCTGAGTCAAAGCATCAGTGGACATGCATAGCATCCTACTATTTCAGAAATGCCCAGGCTTCCTCAATTACACTGGATAGGTGGCTGGGGCCCATGTATGAGGTAGTTGGTTGGTTGGCTCTTACCTCCAGGATGGATCTCCGGCGCTGGGGTGTTTGCTGGCTGTAGGCTGGACTGCTCCCAGGCACCCCATGCAAGGCCACGTAGCAGTCAGTGCACACACGGTTGGATCGGTTGTTGTCATAGATGAGGCGGGCCCGGAACTCAGAACACTTTCCACAAACCACCTGGGGTGGCAAGTGGTCAAGAGTAGCCTGATTCTAGCAGGCTTTCCCCTTCAGTGAACCAACTCCCACAACAGACTTGCAGCCTTCTCCCTTTGGAGGGTGCCCACTTAGAAGCAGGCCTTTGGACTGTCAGCCTGTCCCCTCTTTGGCTGTGCCCCACTTCCCAACACTCACATGCCCACAGGCCTTGCAGTGGTGCCTGCGTTTGGTGATGGAATTGAAGGGCTCCTGGCAGCGCATGCACATGGTGACTTCCTTTTCCCGGATGGGTGTAGGTGCCCGCTTCCCAAGATCCACATTCTAGGGGAAGAGCCACATCCATGGTCAGAGAGCTTCTCAGTCCAGTTCAGGCAGCCCTTCCATCTGCCCCCAAGGCTTAGATTATCACTGGTGGTGGTGGGGCAGCAGACACATTCAGAAAGCCTGCTTTTGAATCTGGCTGTGCTCCTACCTGATGTGTTAACACTGTGGTTTTATTACAGTATTGGGGATTTCTTTTTTTTAAATTTTTTTTAGTATTGGGGATTTCAATCAGGGCCTTTGCACTAAACTATATACCCAGCCCCCCACCCTATTTTCGTTTTGTTTTGTTTTTAGAGACAGGATCTCACTATGTAGTTCAGGCTGGTCTTGTACTCACTATGGACCCCAGGCTGGCCTCAAACTCGAGTGCTGGGGTTACAGGCATGTACCACCACACCCAGCCTAACAAATTTTTGGTTGTTTGTTTTGTTTTTTTAGTTTTTTGAGACAGGGTCTTGCTGTGTCATCCGGGCTGGTCTTGAACTCACTATGTAGCCCAGGCTGGCCTCAAACAGCGATCTTCCTGCCTCAGCCTCCCGAGTGCTGGGATTACAGGCATGTGCCACCACACCCAGCAATACTGTGTTATTGAAAATAAAGTCATTTTTGCATTTTTGGCCTTGGTTTCCCCCAATGATTTTTGCATGGCCCTGCCAACAGAAGATTATGCTTCTGAGGGTGTGCATTGCCTCTCTGATCTTTACTTTCTACGAAGGAGAGGATCATCTCTTGGGAAGGTAGGAACTTAGAGGCCTGGAGGGGGTCGCAGTGCAGGAGACAGTGGGGACACTTACTGGAGAGTTGGGGGGCGTGTCTTCATCTTCTCTGTTTGTTGAGTTCAACAGTTTGAAGGTCTCCAGCGTCTGTTCATGCTTTAGGAGGGTGGAGTTGATGGCCTGGTTCAAGGTATGATGGTGAGAGGTCAGATCACCTCACAAACCACTCATTCCCACCCTCACATCACTTTCCTATGCTCTATCCTGGAGTCAGGAGAGTTGAGTTCTAAGCCCAGCTTGGTCCCTGGCAGACATACAACCTTGAGCAAATCCTTCTTCCATACCAGGCTTGAAATGATAACATGAAGTAGGGGAAACTGTGTTGGAAAAGCCTTGGGCAGCCTTCCTTGCCACTGTCTAAGCTTAAGGTTTTATAGGGCCTGACTTGCTGGGATTATACCTTTAGAGGAACCACCTTTCTAAAGAAGAATTTGTGAGTTTCCATTTATCCTCTGGACCTCAGTTTGCTTTGCTTATCTATAAAATGGAGATGTTAAAGTTTTTTGGAAGGCGTCCAGGCCCATTCAGGTCATACATAAGTTTTGGGGGAGAGTCCACCAACTCCTAGGAGACCTGTTAATGCTTTTCCAGCCCTCTACCACAAAGTTGTGTTTGATGTTACCTGGACCCAGTCTTTCTTCTCCTCCTCAGTCCTTGGTAGGGGGGAAAAAAAGAAAGATGTTGGGTTAGGCAGGTCAGCAAAAAGCCATTGGGGTGGTAATGAGCAGGTACTTTAGAATTAGACAGACTTGAGTTTAACCCTCTGCTTCTTCATTTATTACTTGTGTGACCTTGTACAAGTCACTTAACCTGTCTGGGTTTATTTATTCAGCAATTACTAATATCTTCCAGACTCTGTGCTAGAACTTGGGCCTCAGAGAAAACCCTTCCTCAAAAGGCTCATGGTCTAGCAGAGACAGGGACAATTCAGGGGGATCAGTGCTGTGACAAGATGACAATAGGGCTGAGGAAATCAGAGGAGGAGACCACCCCAGCCTGAAGTCTGGGTGGGGGCTTTTAAGGAAGGTTTCCTCAGGGAGGTGCTAGGCCTCAGGTAGAGGAGTAAGGGTGTGGTGTATATGAGAACAAGAAACCATATCAATAAATTCCCAGCTACTGGGATATCAAGTTTGAGAAAAGAGGGCAGTTCATTTTTTAATTTGTAACATGGAGATGATGATTATCATTCCCTGGGTTGTTTTGAACATAACAGGCAACATGTATGAAATGCCCAGCACAATGTCTGGTGCAATAGATGCTCAAATCAATGTGACTTCTGCCTCCCTTTGTGTCCCCCCCACCCCCTGCCCTGACCCTTCTGTTTGTCCTGCATTCTTTAAGGCCTTTATCCTAGTACAGCCTCTCACCCACTCAGTAAGAATAGGACCCCACCTTCTCTGCTGCCTCGGAGTTAATGTTTTTGTTATTTGAGACAAGGTCTCCTTTTCTAGTCCAGGCTGGCCTTGAACCTGTGATCTTCCTGCCTCAGCTTCATGAATAGCCAGTATTATACATGCATGCTACCATGCCAGCTGCCATCTGGCCTCTTCTAATTGCCTTCCACATCCACAATCCAGACATCAGAAGTATTTTTCTAATATGAAAGTGTAACTATATCCTTAGAACCACTTAATAAAAAAAGCAGAGATGTGAGTCAATATTTAGCTATAAGAATGTCCCTTGCAGTGCAGCTCGGATGTAGCTCAGTGGTGGAACACTTGCCTTGCATTCATAAGGTCTTGGGTTTGAGTCCCAGCAGCACACACACACAAAATCAAAACAAATGTGGATAATTAATATATGCCAGGCATGGTGGCATATGTCTGTAATCCCAGCACTTAGTTTGTTTTTTTGGTACGGTGATCGAACTCGGGATCTTGCACTTGTGAGGCAGGAACTCGGGATCTTGCACTTGTGAGGCAGGCGGCAGAACCACTGAGCTAAATCCCCGGCCCCAATCCCAGCACTTGGGAGCCTGAGGCAGGAGGATCACCTTGAATTCAAGGCCAGCCTAGATTACATAGTGAGTTCAAGGCCACTCTGAACTACACAGCAAGACCCTGTCTCAAAACACCAAAAAAAAAAAAAAGTCCATTTCAATGCTTTTTATAGTGAAAAATTGGAAGCAGCTTAAGCATCCAACAATAGGTCAGGTTAAAAAGAATCATGGTATATCACTACTACAAAAGAAAAATAATGATATAGAAAGTTTATAATATGTTTAGAGAAAAGAATATATACAAAATATGTCTAATATTCTATCTTGTTTAAAAATATATATGTGATAGCCTGGCATAGTGGTGCACCTGTGATCCCAGCACTTTAGGAGGCTGAGGCCAGAAGATTAAAAAGTTTGAGCCCACCCTGGGCAACTTAGCAATTTAGTGAGACCCTGTCTCAAACTAAAAATAAATAAATAAATAAAGGGCTGGGGATGTAGCTTAGTGCAAAAGTGCCTGGGTTCAATTCCCAGTACTGCAAGAAAAAAAAAAGGAAAAGAAAAACTGAGCCAGTAGTTAGTGGTGCATGCCTTTAGTCAGAGCACTCTGGGAGGTTGAGGCAGGAGGATCAAAAGTTCCAGCCTAGCCCGGGCAATTTTAGACTTAGAGAGACCCTGTCTCAAAATTTTAAAAAATGCTTGGATATAGCTCAGTGTGAAGGTCCTGTGTTCAATCCCCAGTACCTAAAAAGTATAAAAAAAAATAAGTAAATGTGACACAAATATTTACATTTTTCAAAACTCATCCATGGTACATTTACGGCCTAAGCACTTTACTATGAAAATTTTGCCTCAAGAAAAAGGAAGAGAGGTTTAAACAAATATTGAAATTTAATTAATGATTTACATGCCAAATTCTTAGTAAAGTGTGATATGTAGGGATGTTTTCAACTTAGTATGAAACTCTTTAAAAATCACTTGGATTCATGGATGGATAAAATTAAATATAGCATAAGGTTAACATTTGTAGAATCCAAATGATGGGTTTATGAGTGTTCACTGTATAATTTGTTCAATTTTTCTGGATTATGGAAAAATTTCATAATCAAATGTAGAAAGGAAAGGCCCCAAAGGGGTACTAACAATACAGTCGCATAAGTTATTTCTGGGTTGTAGGGTTTCAGGGGGATTTTACTTTATTCTGATTGTATTATTTTAAAAATTACTTCTTGTTTATCTGTATTTTCTGATTTATAATTTCTTTGTAGTAAACAAGTGTTGCTTTTGATTTTTAAGAACCACGATAGAAACCAGGCTTGGCTGTCCACACCTTTAATCCCAGCACTCTGGGAGACTAAGGCAGGAGGATTGCAAGTTTGAACACAGTTTGGGCAACTTAGTAGAACTCTCAAACAAAAATAAAAAGCGCTGGGGACATAGCTCAGTAGGCAGACTCTTGGTTCAATCCCCAGCATGGAAAGATGAAAGAAGGGAAAGAGGGAAGGAAGAAAGAGGGGAGGCAGGCTGACAGGAAGGAAGGACCACAACAGTGTTTTTAGCTAGTCATGCTGAAGTACATAGTGATGAAGTGTCATAATATTTATAATTTATTTATTTATTTTTGTAATTTACTTAAAATGGTTCCACAAAAAGCATGTGGCAGGCTGGGCATGGTGGCATGTGCCTGTAGTCCCAGCTACTTAGTAAGCTTAGGCAGGAGGATCACTTGATCCTGGGATCACTAAGCCCAGGAGCTTCAAGCTAGCCTGGGCAATGCAGTGAGATTCTGACTCAAAAAACAATTCAAAATCAAACTAAAAGAGACATAATATGGCAAAATGTCAATAGCTGTCAAATGGTGCATGGATTAAACCTAGGGCCTCACATATGCTAGGCAAGTGCTCTACACATCCCCAGCCCTAGCTGTTGACTCCTAAATCGGTGATTCTAAATCCTGGTGCATTCATTAAGATGGGGGAGGGGGGCTCTTAAAACTATCCATGATAGGGCTGGGGATTTAGCTCAGTGGTTTCGCAGCCTACTGCGCAAGCGCAAGGACCCAAGTTCGATCCACGGTACCAAAAAACAAAACAAAACAAACAAAAAAAACTATCCATGATAGATGGGTGTGGCGGCACATGCCTGGCATTCTGGGAGGCTGAGGCAGGAAGATTGCAAATTCCAGCCCAGCCTGAGCAATTTAGCAAGATCCTGTCTGAAAATTTAAAAATTAAGAAAGGACTAGGGAAAAAAATGGGTAGGATGCAGCTCAGTGTGAAGGCCATAAATTCAATACCCAATACAGCTTTATAAGTTTTTAAAAATTGGGCTGGGGATTTAGCTCAGTGGTTCCACTGCCTGCCTTGCAAGCGCAAGGTCCTGAGTTCGATCTCTGGTACCAAAAAAAAAGAATAAATTTTTAAAAATTGAAACAAAACCCCTCACATTGAGGCTACACCCCAGACCAATTAACTCAGAATATTGGAGAGTGGGTTCCAGGCATCATTTTTTTTAAAAGCTCCCCAGTTGATTCCAAGAGTCACCAAGTTTGAAAACCAGTTGTCTATGTTGTGGGTATATGGGTGTTTGTGCTACTACTTTTCTAGAGATGTGATAATTTTCATTAAAAACTATTTTAAGCTGGATGTGGTGGTACATGTCTATAATCCTAGCACTGGAGAGGCTGAGGCAGGGCTTCAAGTTCAAGGCCAGCCTGGGCTACATAGTGAATTTAAGGCTAGCCTGGACTACACAGTGAGACCCTGTCTCAAAAAAACAAAACAAAACAAAAGTTTAAGTGTGGCAAAAGTGACTACAAAGCAAACAAACTATCCATGCCTTCCTGCTGCTACTAGGAGGAAACCCTACACTGCTGACAAGCCCCTTCTAGACCTAGAGTCCTGTAGCCTTCCTCTCTATAGACTATGAGTCCCTGTCACCTGGTTTATCACCTTCCTGAACATGTTCAGAATCTGTTCTGCTCTTGCTTTCCCCATTATAGGCCTCAGGGAGGCTGTCTCGGTCTCTAAGCTCCATGGCCCAATTCCCAGCTTGTTTCACACTCCAGGAAGACAACCTCTAGCCCACATTCATTTCTCTTTTGTCTTCACACAGTCTCTGCCAGTCATTTCTCATGTCCACAAAACCTGTCAGAAACAAGTCATCTACTGATGTGCATTTGCATTCCAGGCCTGATCATGACCTTGATACTCTTTCACCTCAACCTTCATAAGGCAACATGGACAGTGGACAGGAGTAATGACTCCAAGTGCACATGGCCTGAGTTCCACTCCCAGCTCTGTACCATCCTAGCTGTGGGATATGGGGCAAGGTGATAACTATTTGGTGCCTCAGTTTCCTCATCTGTAAAATGTGTTGATGTAATAGTAGCTACTTCAACTAGGGGATATCAACTAGGCAGTTAAATTAACTTAAACTTAAATTGTTTAAGTTAAAATTAAAATAGGCTAGATACAAAAATGCATGCCTGTAACCCTAGCTATTCAGGAGGCTGAGGCAGGAGGATCACAAGTTTGAGGCCAGCATGGGCAACTCAGCAAGACACTCTTTCTTTTCTTTCTTCTCTCTCTCTTTTTTTTCAGTACTGGGAATTGAATCTAGGGCCTTTACATTGAGCTACCTTTTTAGCACTGCCCCCTTTTAATTTTGAGATAGGGTCTTACTAAGCTGCTAAATTGCTCAGACTTGACTTAAACTTTCAATCCTCCTGCCTCAGCCTTCCAGAATGTTGGGATTACAGGCGTGTGCTATCACATCTGGCTTGAGACCCCCATTTCAAAATAAAAAATTAAAACAGTTGGGGGCATAATTCAATGCAAAGACCCTGGGTTCAATTCCTAATACCACAAAAAAAAGGTTAAAATAGTATCTGGCACAAGCATAAGTACTTATGATATGTGCTCTATTATCATCCAAATAGAGGATAGATATGAAAGCCCCTCTGTTAAATGGTTGGGCATTTTATCCATACTGTAATTTTTTTTTGAGACAGAGTCTCCATATGTAGTTCAGGCTGGAATTGAACTCATTATGTAGCCCAGGCTGGCCTCAAACTCGAAGCGATCCTCCTGCCTCAACTTCCCCAGTGCTGGCATTACAGGCATGTGCCACCAAGCCTGGCTCCATGCTATAACTTTTTTTTGGTACCAGGGATTGAACTCAGGACCTTGCGCTTATGAGGCAGGCAGCAGCACCACTGAGCTAAATCCCCGACCCCTTTGCTATAATTTTTTTTAAAGGTTTTATTTGTGGTACTGGAGATTGAAACCAGAGGTATTCTACCACTAAGCTATATCTCAGACTTTATTTTTTTTGAGACAGGGTCTTGCTATGTATTACAGGCTGACCTTGACTTGCAATCCTCCTTTCTCAGCCTTGAAAGTGTTGGGATTATAGGTGTGCCCCAGAATGTCCAACACAAAATACCAGCTCTTTTAAAATTTTTCTTTTTGGGCTGGGGATTTAGTTCAGTGGCACTGTGGCTGCCTTGCAAGAGCAAGGTCCTGAGCTCAATCCCCAGTACCAAAAATAAATAAATAAAATAAATTTTTTCTTTTTAAGACAAGGTCTTGTGCTAGGCATGGTGGCAGATGCCTGTAATCCCAGCACTCAAGAGGCAGAAGCAGAAGGATTGCTGTGAGTTCAAGACCAGCCTGAACTACATATTGAGACTCTGTCTTAAAAAAAACAACAACAAAGTTTTCCTAAATTTCTCAGGCTGGGCTCAGACTTATGAAGTTCTTGCTTCAGCCTCCTGGGGGATTACCTGTGTGTGCCACCATGGTTGACATTTAAAATTTTTTATTGTGAAAAATTTCAAGCATACAGAAAAGTAGACAGGATAGCACAAAACCGAGTATCTATATGCCTGTTATACGGATGCAATTTTAAAAAATATTTGTTGGGCCAAAAGTGGAGTTCAGTGGTAGAACACTTGCCTAGCATGCATGAAGTCCTGGGTTTGATCCCCAGCACTGAAAAAAAAAAGCCATACTTAATGTGTGTGTGTGTGTGTGTGTGTGTGTGTGTGTGTGTGTGTGTGTGTTGGGTAATGAGCCATTTTAAGATAAATTACAGAGCTGGGTACAATGGTGTACATTTGTAGTCCTAGCTACTTGGGAGGCTGAGGCAGGAGGATCATGTGAGCCCATGAGTTCAAGGCCAGCCTGGGCATAGTGAGCTCTCATCTCAAGAAAATAAAATTTAAAATATATTTTTTAAAAAACTGAAGTAAACTACAGACATCACGATACTAAATCCTTAGCATGTGTCACTGAAAAGGCCATTCTTCCTATTCAACCACCATACCATTATCGCACCTCAGGAAGTTGGCAATAATTCCCTGATATCTAGTGTTCAGTTTAATTCATATTTTCCCTATTTTCCAGCAAATGCCTTTATGTATTTTTTTCCAAGTCAGGCTCCTATTATGGACTAAGCATTGCATTCCTTGTTATTTCTCTTAAATCTCCAAGTCTATTTGTGGTACTGTTATTCAGGTTAGGATTAGTATCCTACTCTTCCTTTTCCTCTGACAAAACCTACTAGAAGAAACTCTTGTTTTAATTAGGGAGATATTATTTATTCTCCAAGGTCCTCCTGGTAGAAGTACCACCTTTTCCCACACCATGAAGTACTCACCCTGTGTCCAAATGGCCCTCAAGGATCACCCCCACTGCTGAAGAGCAAGCCTGTATCTTTGGGGAAAGGTGCCCACACTTTCTCTGGATCAATCTCTGGGCTTGAAATGCCCAAGCATATCTGAAGGATAGGGGGTTGGGGGGTTGGAGGGAAGCCCTAGGCAAGGGCAGGTACCTGGCCTGGAGCTCCAGGGAGCGCTGCTTTCCTGACACCAGGAAGGTCCGAGGCAGATTGAGGTTGGAACTCTCCTTTAGCTGAACAGAAAGAAAAAGGCTCATGGTAAGGCCTACTGAGCTCCACAAGTCCTAGCCCTCAGCACACACAGACTTAGGATTAAAGTCAGCATGTTTTTGTTTCCCCCAGTACCAACCCCCCACTGCAAGTTCCCATTTCCCACCTCCTGGTACTCACCTCCATGCCATCTACATCAATGCGTGCCCGCACACTAAACTTCTGGCCAAGGAGCCGCAGCCTGGGCACACAGTAAAGGAGGCGGTCGTTGAACTAGGAAGGAAAAAGTTTGGGATATTTGTGAGGAAGGCCTATGGGGATATGGCCTGGCTCCCAACCCTTACGGGACTCCTGAAGCTTTCTTACTGAGGACTCAAGGCAACAGATGGAGGAAAGACAGCCCAGATTGGACAAAGGGGTTGTAGGGAAAGAGTCTAGGCATAGGAGTCACTTCCTATTGGGTGACCTTGGGCAAGTCACTTTTCTCTGTCTTAGTTACATCATGTGTAAAGAAGGGAAAAAATCCATAGCAGAGATAGTTAAAATACAATGAGTTACTACAGAAAAGAGAGGCTGGCAGCAGGTATAGCCTTGAGTGAGTACCAGGTCAATGTGTGTGGAGGGTTGAGGGCATGCCCACCTGCAGCCCTACACCTGGGACTTACTAGTATGAGGTATCGGTCTTGAGTGGTCCCATTCTTTGCTGACAGCTTAAGGATGTGGCCTTCTTTTATGAGCTCTTTGGTGGGGCTGACAATGTCCTCCTCACCTCCTAGCAGCTCATATACTTTCAAGAGCTTGTGCATTCGCTCCTAGCAGAAGACAGTGAGCAAAAGGTAGGGTTTGGGGTGCCAACCTCCCCTCAGATGTCCATAAGTTGCAGACCCCCCCAATTGCAGGACAGAGACACTACAGGTGGGTGGGTGAGGAAGGGCAGAGGGTAAAAGGGCCACTCACCATTTTGCGGATGGCAGCATTAGAGTGCTCTGCTGCTGTGGCTATCAGCTCCAGAGACTCTATGGCACAGAGAATTCAGATGGGGGTTAGCAGAGAGGAAGTTCTTGGAGGCTTATTTCCTCCTAAATACTTCCTCCTGGCCTGACCACACCCTCCCCATTCCAGAAAGAGCCAGCCTCAAAGATGTCCATAGCAACATCAATGGAAATGAGAAACTGTTTCAACTAATGCAACAATAATGTAATCACAGTATACAGAATAGCTGGCAGCCAATAAAATACTAGCTTGGCAAGATTACTACCATTAAAAGTAACAGTAATATTTACATATATAACTATTATATAACTGGAAGGAAACATATCTATGTTTAGCATGCTGTCTCTGGATGGTGGGACTGTGCCTCCCAGGTGCTGGGATTATAGGGACTGGGGATGTAGCTCATTGGTAAAGCACTTGACTAACATGTGTGAGGTGTTGGGTTCCATCCCCAGCAAAGAAGGAGAGAGGGGAAGGGAGGGAAAAGGAGGAGGAGGAGGAGGAGAAGGAGGAAGATAAGAGAAGAGAGAGAGAGAGAGAGAGAGAGAGAGAGAGAGAGAGAAGAAAGAGGAAGAGGAGGAGGAGAGACAGAGAGGAGGAGAAAATAGAAGAGAAGAAAGAAAAATAGATGATCCTTGTGGAGGGGGTTACCGGAAATTTGCACTGAGCACTGAGATAGGGTCTCACTAAATTGCCCAAACTGGGTTTAAACTTGTGATCCTCCTTCATCAGCCTCTCAGAATGTTGGAATTACAGGTTTGCACCATCATGCCCAGCATGCTCCTATTCTTTGTCTCAATAATTCTGACTATAGACACACATTCTATGCATAAATACATTTTCATTGCAGTGGTATTCACAACAGTGCCAAATTGGAAACAAAAATGTTCAACTATAGGGGTTCATTAAATAAATTATGATGCACTCATATAAATGGAGTATCAATCTTTACAAATTATACTTATGGAAGATTTTTAATAATCTGGGAAATACTTAGGGTACTTCAAAAATACAAACTATATAAAGAATGATCTCATTTTTGCAAATATACATGTCTAAAAAATCAGGAAGAATATATGCCAAAATGCTTATTCTGTGGAGGTTGAGATCACTGGTGATCTCCCCCCTACTTCCTTCTTTCATCTTTTGTATAATTTTCATACTTTCACAGTGACCAGGTATCATCAGGAAAAAACTGTAATAAGTCCCCTTATACCTCCACATGCTAAACAAATCCTAACCCCGCCTATAGCCTTCCCCCAGCTTCACTGGCCCTCACTCTACATTCTTGATTTCCCACTGAGAACATATTCCTGTACTGCAGAGGCACATGTGATTCTGAAGAGAGTTCACATGGTTGGCAAAACAAGTACTGTTCTCCTAGGCCAGTGATGGCAAACCTTTTAGAGGTTTCAATGATAACAAATAGCTGGCTGTGGCACACGTGCCATAGGTTCGCCACCACTGTCCTGGGCTCTGTCTCCACAAACAAGTTTTGGTGCTCAGGCAGATCTGTGGCCCCCGTCCTGGCTTAGGCCTCCATATATGCCTTTCAGGTGCTGGGCTCCTATCTCCAACCCCTCTTCCACCCTGGCTGCCATAAGCAACTTTCTCACATACAGGTCCATGCCAACTGCTCAAGTCTGTCATTTGCTCTCATGTGCCTGCAGGACAAAGGTCCAGCCCTTTGGCCTGGCATTCAAAGTTCTTGGTAATTTGGCTTCTGCTGACTACTATAGCTTTCTCCTGTGCATCTCTTTAAATATGTCCTGTCTTGCTTCATCCAGCCACTCAGTCTTCCAGATTCAGTTCACCATCTCTGGTAAGCCTGCCCTGAGTTCCCAGGCTAGGTTAGGACCCTGTCTGGATTCCTACATTCCACTTTCCCCCTTTCTGTCCCACATCTATATCTGTGTCCCTCAGTAGAGTAGGAGCTCCTTGGGAAAGGGCCAATGTCCCACTAGCCTCTTCAGGGCTCCCCAACAGATTTTTGACATAAAGTAGATCCTTAAATCCTCACAGAAACCCTGCTAGATAGGTGTGATTGGGCCCTATTTGTTCAGTGACAAAACTAAGGCTCAGAGAGAAGACAGCCACCTTAAATTTTCTACCTGGAAGGTAGCAGTTGGCATCAGAGCTGGGGCTGATCTCCCAGCTGCCTTTTCTCCTACATATTCAACATCTCCCCCACCCCAGGGAAGGGAGTAGGCAAATTGAAGTAGAGAGAGCCCAGGGAAGGGGACAGAAAGGATCATGCTAGGGATCTAATTTGAAAGTAAAATTACAGAAGTGACTCCTGAGGGCTTGTGACAGTTAAGGTGGAATGTCAACTTGATTGACTTGGGAGCCTCCCAGAAGATTAGAAAGAACACTTCTACGTATGTCTGGGTAGGTCATGGAAGTGTGTGTGACCTCTGGGTGTATATCTGGTTCTTGGGTCCTTACACTCTGACACTGTTCCTCTGCTCTGTTTCCTGATCTCCATGAACTGAGCAGCTTTGCTTAGCCATACCCTTCTACCATGATGTTTCTGCCATGAAGCCAGGTGACCATGGACTGAATCCTCTGAAACCATGAGCAAAATTTAACCTCTCCTCATTTACATTATGGGTGTCAAGTATTGTGTCCCAGTGACGGAAAATCTAATACAGGAAATTGGTACCAGGAGTATGGTTGTTGCTGTGACTGTATGTGACCATGTAGTTCAAAAGTCTTTGGAACTGCTTTGCAGGAGGAATTTAGAAAGATTTAGAGGTGTGGGATAGAGAAGTCCTAGAATGCTATAAGCAGAGCTTGATGGGCAATTCTGGTGAGAGCTCAGAAGATCAAAATGGTGATACGAATGTGGACAGTTAAAGACCAGGTTCAGAAGATTTTTAAGGGGGAATAAGGATTCTTTTGGGAGTTGGATTATTGTCCATACATGTTACACTCTGGCAAAAAAAAATGTATCTACATTTTACCCATGTCCTGAGACTTTGTAGGAGCTGAGTTTAAGGGCCATGGACTAATTAATTGATCTGGTGTAAGACATCTCAAGGCAGCCTAACATGCAGGCTGGGCTACGGATACTGCTGTTTTCTTTCAGCCAAATTTATAATGAGAGTCAGGGGCAAAAAGCAGAGCAGAAAAATATGAATAACTTAAATTTTGGCCCAGAAGGAACCATGTGTAAAGTTGGGGCCCGAGAAGGTGTGGCTGTTGAAGAGAGAAGCACAATTAGAAAAAAACCAAGTACTTTGCACGGGGACAAGAAAGATTCCTTGAGGGTATCTCAGGAATCAGCAAGACCTCATCCATTATAGGTTCAAAGGTGCAAAAGTATAAACCTTTCATTTGAGAAGAGAGCCTCTGATCCCCCTGCTTGGAAAGGAGGAACTGGTTCTCGGGGATTCATTTCATCATACTCAGCCATCCAGGCACTCAGAGGCTGCTGTTGCCATGGTCCAAGGGGGCTTCATTACTGCCTGTGCTGGTGGCAGACCTTGGTGTTATCTACATGATGCTGGTTTTTCCAGAAGGCAGAATATAAGAATTATTGGGTCAGAGAAGCTTCCACCTAGATTTCAAAGGAAGGCCTGGGAGGCAAAGCAAGGAGACCCTGAACAGGCAGCCCATGAAGCTATGAAAATGAAGCCAAAGTTGTAGTGGAGACACCAGGAACTCAGAGATGCCAGGAAAATAGAATGTCTGCTTAGGAAATCTATAGGCTGTGAGTACAGTCAGCTTACAAGAGAGGCCATGTAGGCTGCAATCAACAAGGTCATTGGAGTGGGACTGCCCAAGCACTCTGAAACTCACATCTTAACCACCATGTGCCCTGGACACTGGACATGGAGCTACAGGACTTAATGTTTCTGACACTGGATTTTGATCCTCATTTGGTCCAATTCTTTACTATCTCCCAATTCCTCCCTTTTAGAATGGGAATGTTTACCCTGTGCCATTGTACTTAGTAATTATATAACTTGTTTTGATTTTTACAGAGGTTCACCACTAGAGGCTTGCCTTGAGTCTGAAGAGATTTTGACGTGGATTTTTCAATAATACTGGGATCATTGAGACTTTAGGGAATGGATTATTGTGTTTTGGTTGTATATGGGATTGCTTGATCATGTTAGGCAGACTTACAATGGTACCTTGGTTCATGAACTTAATTCTTTCCAAAATTCAGGTCACAGAATTTGTTCCACAATTCTGGTTGCAACTGAATTGCAAGCATATATGCAACCAGAATTGTGGCTTAAAGAGATGTGTTTGGGTATCAAGATGACAAGGGGTGGGACATGAGGTTAAGGTGAATTGTCAACTTGATTGGCTTAGGAGCCTCCCACGGGATTAGTAAGGACACTTCTGGGTGTGTTGGGGTAGGTCATGGAAGTGTGACCTTGGGGTCTATATCTGGTCCCTCACCCCTTCTTCTCTGGCACGGTTCCTCTGCTTTGCTTCCCAGCTTCCATGAACTGAGGAGCTTTGCTTCACTACACCCTTTCACCATGATGTTTCTGCATTGAAGCCAGCTGACATGGACTGAATCCCCTGAAGCCATGAACCAAATTAAGCCTGTCCTCCTTTAAGTTGTACATGTCAGGCATTGTGTCCTAGTGATGGGAAAGCTGGCTAATACAAGGTTCAATGTGAACATATGATTCTGTGGTACTGCATGGAGAAATGAGATGGGGGGCTTCTTCTGGGGACCCCAGTTGGATGGGTACATAATATGGAAAGTCAAAATGGCAGTAAAGTGCCCTTCCTGGGTGTCAGTACAGAGCTCAGTCTGGAGACCTCAGTCTGGTAGACTTTACCTGGGAATCTCAATACATGATTTTAAGTCTGGAGGGTAGGATATAGAGAGCTCAGTCTGGGAGAAGTCACTCTGGAAGTTGAGACTGGGAAGATTATTCCAGGTGCATAGCCTAGTTGGCTTAATTTGGGGGACAATCTAAGGCATTAGTCTGAGAGTTTAGCAAGGAACTCTCAATCTGGTTGATAAAAAATAGGAGTCCAATCAGAAGGCTAGAGAGGACACAGTCTGGAATCTTTGGAGCTGTCAGGACCACCACATCTTAGGGTTCTTTCTGGGATTCACACTGGGGAACTGTGGGAATCCAGTCTGAGGCTCTGTGAGGTTTCAGTGTGTGGGGGTGGAGCAGGAGAATCTTTTGGGCTTGGGGTGAAAGTTTCAGCCTGAAGGGTAGTAAATGTGAGGTTACTGTGTAGAGAATGGTGGCCAAGGAGATGAGACTAGAAGACTGTTTGGGGAGAATCTAACTCTGGAATCTCAGGGTGAAGGCTCTAAGAACACATTCTTAGGAATCTGGGCTGGGGATTTAGCTCAGTGGCACCATGCCTGCCTGAAAGCCCAAGGTCCTGAGTTTGATCCTGGGTAAAAAAAAAAAAAAAAAAAGAAGGAATCTGGGTGGAGACAGCATTCTTGAGGCCCAGTCTGGGGATCTTAGTTTGAGAAAATAGTATAAGGATTTATAACTTGAAACTTAGACTGGGTTTAGCCTAAGGGCTCATATTGGAGATGTCAGTCCATAGGGCTCTTTCCGGGGAATCAGTCTGGAAGGGTCTTTTTAGAGACTTAGGTTATGTAGCTCATCTTGGGACCTCAGTGGAGCTTATATTTGGAGGGGATGGAATGGGGTATTTACTTAGTGTACACATGTCCATTTGGAGAGCTCAGCTACTAAACATTCTAGAAGTATAGCTCATTCCAGATGTTTAGGCTTGGTCGCAAAGTACCCTATCTGTTGGGGTGAAGGAGGCTCAGTTTGGGAAGTGAACATAACACAGGATTCAACTGTCCACTTTCCATTCTTATGCCTTCTGCACCTTCCCTTTTTTCCCCTGACTTCATGGCTGCTTCTTTTAAGTCTCCTTTAGTGATTCTACTTCTCTGAGCTTTGTCTTTCACTCCTTTTCTCTTCCATTTTTACTCACTCCCTGTGGTGATCCTGACCAGTCCAATGGCTTTGACTACTATCTGTGTGCAATGATATCCAAAGCTCTCCCCCTGGATTCTAGACTCATCTAACTGCCTAAACTGGCAGCTCACATTGAACATGTCTAAAATCGAACTCAAGAGCCATCATTCTTAATGTCTCTCCAGTTCCACATCCACGTCATCCTAGACTTTTCAGTACTACTTCCAAATAGAATATGTCCTGAATCAAACTGTTTCTCACCACTTCCACTGCTACTGTCCTTATCCAAGCCAGCTTTTCTCATGTTCTCACTTAGATTATTGCAAAAGCCTTCTAACCAATCTCTTAGTTCCCTCTCTTGCTCCCCGTGAAATCCAAATCAAAAACTTCCCATGGCTATCCACTACACTCAGAATAAATCCCTTTACTTATCTTTGCCTTTAAATTCTTACTTCTCTCTCCAACCCCACTTCTACAATCCTACCCTCACCATGCTGGGATCACAGTGGCCCTTTTCATTATTTTTCTTTTTTTGAGACAGGATCTCACTACGTAGTCCAGGCTGGCCTGGAGCTTGCTATGTAGCCCAGGCTGGCCTAGAACTCATGATCCTCCTGCTTCAGCTTCCTGAGTGCTGGGATTACAGGTGTGCACCACCATGCCTGGTTTAGAATGACCCTCTTGTTTGTCCAGAGATATGCAAGCTACCTCCCTCCCTCCCTCAGCTTCCCCTAATCTCCCCCCTGCCTTGGGGTCTCTGTACCTGCTGTTGCTTCTGCCTGGTGTTCGGCCCATTGGCTTGTACTACTTTCTTTTTTTTTGGTACCGGGGATCGAACTTGGGTCCTTGTGCTTGTGCAGCAGGCGGTGAAACCACTGAGCTAAATCCCCGGCCCAACTACTTTCTTGTTATTTGGATACTGACTACTCAGAGAAGTCACCCAATCTAAAATAGACTACCCAGTTACTGTTACATCACTCTCTTCTAATTCTCTCAATTACTTATCACCTAATATTCTCTTGTTTATTACTTTTGTTTCTTATCTCTTCCCAACCAGAATAAATATTCCCTGAGATCAAGGACTTTGTCTTTTTTTTTTTTAATCTTTATATCCCCAATACCTAGAACAATGCATAGAACATTGAGGTGCTCAGTCAGTAGCTGTTAAGTTAATGAATAAATAAAGATAGATAACAGTTTGAGCAAGCGAAAGTATGGTAGACTCTGGGGTGCTCTGTCTGGGGTATGATCCCATGGGGTGAGGCAGATAGTGGGAAAATCAGAAATACTTTTCTAGTTGTTCAGTGTATAAGGACTCAGTCTGGAAAGATGATATCTCAGGTTAGAGATCTAAATCTGAGAGATAGAAGATATGGGGACCAGGTAGGGGGACTATATCTAGTTTTAGAGAGGTGATTCTGTGGAGTTCTGTCAGATTGGAGGTTTTGGGGGGAGGTTCATTCTGGAGAATGCAGAGTAGACATGGAGGATGGAAAATCAAGAGCTTGATGATACCAGGCACTTTCTGGAGAGGTTACCATGGAGAATCAGGCCTTGGACTTAAATAGTTTCATTTTGCACTTGATACAACTTCATTTGAGAACAAATATGGAGGTTAGTTTAAGAAATGGATGGCTTTGTTCAGGGGATCACTCTGGGCATGCCTCTCAAACTCTGGTGCTCCAGTTGGGAAATTCTGACTGGGGAACTCTTCCTGAATGTTCTTTCTGAGTACTCAGGCAGAGATTTGAACTTGGAGGTTCAGCCTGAAGTTTCACCTCGGAGCCTCAATGTGGGCCTTTTAGCTTGGAAACCCTATACTGGGGTCTCAGTCATGTGGCAATGGAAAGCTGACTCTGAATTAAGTTTTGGGATCCTGTGTCAGAGGTTGACCTAAGATTATCATAGTCAGGGAGCAAGGCAGGACCTGGGCACACACACTCACTTTGGGCATCCTTGCTGTCCGGGGAGCCATGTGGCAGCTTTAACAGATAGTCCTTGAGAAGCAGCTCATAGCGGGGGATGCGCTGCACAGGCTCCAGCATGTGGTGCTGCAATGTCAGGTTGCCACAGGCTTCCTCCTTCTGTGACAGGCAGAAGCAGAGGAACTCAGGTCTTATTGCTGTCCACTCCCCTACTCCCAGGTCTCTGCAGCCCTCTCCTCCCCTAGTCTGTTCCATCCAGCTTCAACACTTACTTGCACCTCATGGATGATGACTTTAAACTGGGTAGAGCGCTCTGTCCAGGTGTTGACCAGCTCAACAGCCCGATCAAAGTTCTTCACATACTCGCCATACATCTTGAGGAAGGGTGCCAGCTTCTGCAGGATGTCCCCAATGCGAGGGTAGCGGTCCCTGAGGTTGAAGTAGGGGCTGAGGTGGTCATAATGATCCTTACTCATCGGGATCCTCCCCCATAGGTCTCCAGCCAGAGGTATACCACTCTTATTTCAGGGCTGGAAACCCACTTCTCAGCCAATCTGCTTCTTTGGAAATGCTGCTTATATTATAGGCCAATTAGTCCCAGAGGCTTGGTTTGACCTGAGACTGTGCCCTAGTCCATTACCAGCTCCAAATCTACCCTGTCAAGCATCAAGAACAACATGTCCTGGAATGCCCTCTCTGACCTTACTGCAAGGACTACTTCATACACTGATAACTGATTCTGTGCCCAGCTTTGTGCTAGGTCATGCTGGGGAAAGGAGCCACACCTAATGAAGCCCTGAAAGCCTCACTGTCTGGTAGGGGAGGCAAAGTGACCAGGCCTAGACACACTCCTCATTAATCACAGTTGGATGCAGGAGACAAACCAGACCTGGATTCACAGGCTAGTAGGAGACATCAGAGTCAGGCTTCATGCCAGCCCTCTGTGTTCACAGTCTGATGTGAGGGACATACTTTATCCTGTGAGTGTGGGGAACCTGGACATGATTTTAGGCTGGGACTGACATGGACTAATTGTTGTTTAGAAAGACATTCAAGCAGGTGGTGTAGCCTCTAAAGGATGAATTAGAAGAGTTGAGCCTGCCTATAAATCCACCCTTCCTCCTCAGGCATTAACTCTTCCCTGAATCCTTCTCTGACTCCCAGACTAGGAGTGGTCCATTTGTTTAGATACTTGTAGCCTCCTATTCTTACCTTTATAATAGCACTGATAACCAATAACAGCTTAGAGTCATTGAGCACTCATATACTGGGTACCATTCTAAGGTCTCTACATGAATCAGTCCTTAAAACAACTGTACAAAGTAGGCTATTATTATCATCTCTATTTTTGAAGATGAAGAACACGAGGCACAGCAACTTAAGAAACTTGTTCAAAGCTAGCAAGTGTTGGAACCAGAATCTGAACCCAGCGCATATTCTTTTTTCTCCACTTCATACTCTTTTTTTTTTTTGAGACAGGGTCTCACTTTGTAGTTCAGGCTGGCCCTGAACTCATTATGTAGCTCAGGCTGCCCTCAAACTCCCAGCAATCCTCCTGCCTCTACCTCCTGAGTGCTGGGATTACAGGTGTGAGCCACCACGCCCAGCTTACTTTTTAAAATTAGTACATGTTTGCAGTACATAATGAACATACTAATCATGGGAGATTTGTACATGTACATAACATATCTCAATTCTTTTCCCACCTCATACTCTTCTGGGGGGGGGTGAGACAGGGTCTCACTATGTAGTTCAGGCTGAACTTGAACTCACTTTGTAGCCCAGGCTGGCCTTGAAATCGGGGTGATCCTCCTTCCTCAGACTCCCAAGTGCTGGGACTACAGGCATGCACCACCATGCCTGGCACACCTCATACTCTTAAGGGCTCTGCTATTCTGTTGTAATTTTCTCAGTCCTGGTCTGGGTTCCACAATAGATTGGGAGGGCCTAGAAGGTAGAGCTTAGGCCTGATTCTTTTTTCAGAAGTCAGTAAGAGGAGAGGAAAGACAGAATGAACTTTTTGGGGGTGCTGGTTTGGAACTGGGAGGGTGGGTGGGCTTGTGCATGCTAGGCAAGTGCTCTACCACTGAGCCACACCCCAACCCCAGGAATAAACTTGTGTACATATCTGGGTCTGGGCTCCAAAGGCAGAGAGCAAGGAGCCTGGGCCTGCGGTCCCTTACCATTCCTCCATACGCTTCTCTAGTTCAGGCAGTAGGAACTGCTGGTGGAAGCAATAGATGGAACAGATGTTAGAGAAGATGCCATGGACAACATCAGCTGGGAAGGAACTGCGGTTCCGAGCTTCTTCCAGCAGCCGGGCACAGAATACCTGTGAAGCAGGACAAGAGGACTCAGCCCACTGGGCCTAGGGCTTGGCTGGGAAAGGGGCAGCTTGTAGGTAAGGGCAGTGTTTGCAGGAAGCTTTGTGGATCTTTGGGATCAGCATTGGTTTAGAGGCTGAGGAGAGAGGGAGTAGAGTTAGGGTTATATATGGGGAATAGAGTTTGGATTATATACTTCAGGTTGTCAATTAAAGGTTGGTAAGAGGATCAAACTTGGGATCATAATCAGAGTTGGCTTCAGGGACAAATTGGTTTCAAGGTCAGAAAGGGGCCTTACCACCTCTAGATTTTGGTCCCAATGGTAGAGTTGGGCTCCAGCCCTACCACTTCCTCCTTGAACACACCTTGGGGCCCCCTGAGGGGCCATTCACCTGATCTAGGAGATGTAGTCTGGAAACATAGGCCTTCTCAGTTTGCAGGAGCTCATTGGCAATGTGGAACACCTTCTGCTGCACAGTCAACTAGAAAGGAAAAGAGGTGACCCCAGATCTGTCATCCTTTACCCTAATCCTCACCCAAGCCCCTAGAAGGTTTTCTTTTTTCTTTTTCTATTCTCTCTCTCTCTCTTTCTCTCTCTTTTAGATGTGGTCTTGCTGTGTTGACTAGGCTGGCCTGGCCTTGAACTCCTGGGCTAAAGCGATCCTCTTGCCTCGGCCTCCCCAGTAGCTGAGACTACAGGTGTGCACCACTGTGTCTGGCTTCCCTAGAATTCTAATAATAGCTTAAATGTTGCTTTAAGCCTAATGTCACCCTAAGATACTTCTGACCCCCCCATAATACTTCCAGCTTCATACTTGACTCCCCTGTCAATCTTAAAGCCTACCCCTTAATTCTAATGACATGCGCTCCCTCACTCAGCCACTTACTCATTCATCTGCTCTATGTATTGGGAATAGTGTGATGGTTAAGCATGGGACTGGGAAGTCAGACTTCCTGGGTTCATATCCCAACTCTGCCATTCACGAGCTTCCATAAGTTGTTTAACTTCTCTGTATTTAAGATTTCCTCACCTATAAATACCAATAATAATAGAACCCACATCCATTTGTAATGGAGACAATTAAATGACTTCATATTAATAAAAGAGCAGACTACAGATTAAGTAGTTTATAAATGTTAGGTATTTGTTCACTCACTAAGTTCATTATCAGCAAAAGGCTTTTTTAGTACCTGTGGTATGAGAAAAACACAAAAGTATAAAAATGTCTAAAACTCTTTGCCTATTGGTCCAGTTTCCTATTCATTAGACACATTTTCTGAGTACCTTTCATCTTAGCAGTCCCTGACCTCAGCCTCCACATCTAAGCTTGGTCCTGGTGGAACAGATATTCTAACTGACACCCAAATGAAGTGCAAGGATGTCTTTTGAAGAAATGTTAGGCTGCCAGGGCACAGAAAGGATCCCTGATGCCAAGAGCCTTCATCTCCAGTCTTAGGTCCCTGAGGGGTTCTAACACTTGTGCCCCTCCTCTAGCTGTTGGGAAGGCTCTGGGATGTGAGAGACTTTATACAGGTAAGGAAACTGAGGCTTACTGTAGGGGAGTGAAGAGGGAAGAGACATGCCTAATGTCACACAGAGCTGCTGTAAGATTTTTCCTCTCTCTCTCTCTCTCTCTTTCTCTTCTTTACTTTTGTTGTGGTACTGGGGATTGGACCCAGGGTTTTATACATGTTAGCTAAGCACTCTACCACTCAGATCTATCCCTAGCCCTTTTTTACTTTTAATTTTGAGATAGGATCTCACTAATTTGCCCAGGCTGACCTTGAACTTGTAATCATCCTACCTCAACTTCCCAAATAACTGGAATTATAGGTGGGTACCACCATGCTTAGCTCATGGGATTAACCTGTTGCATAAGATTTTAAAAATCCCCAACAGGACATGGTAGCACATACATACAATCCCAGCACTCTGGGAAGCTAAGGCAGGAGGATCACAAATTCTAGCCCAGTCTCTGCAACTTAGCAACATAGTAGGTCCCTGCCTCAAAAATGTAAAAAAAAAAAAAAGCCAGGCATAGTGACACACACCTGTAATCCCAGCACATGGGAGGCTGAGGAAAGAGGATAACAAGTTTGAGGCCAGTTTAGGCTACATAGTGAGTTCAAGGCCAGTCTGAACAACATAGACAGACCTTGTCTCAAAAAACAAACAAACAAAAAAGTTTTTTTAAAAAAGGGCTGGAGATGTAGCTCAGTGCAAGGACCCTGGATTTGATCTCTAGTACCTCAAAAATGAATGAATAAATAAATAAATCCATCCATTCATCCTCAACCAGGATGCCCATCTTCAAGATGGAAAACCAAGTCCAGACTAGTGGTTCTCTGATGAGGGTAGGAGCATATTCCTAGTGGGCATTTGGAATGGTACATGATTATTTTGGTGGTGCACGCCTGTAATCCCAGCCTGTAACTGGGAGGCTGAGGCAGGAGGATCACTGCAAATTTGAGGCCACCCTGGGCTCCATACTGAGTTGAAGACCAGCTCGGACTCCATAGTGAGACCCTGTCTCAAACAAAACAAAATGTAACAAAACACAATGATTGGGGAGAGAGGTAGGGTTGCTACTGGTACTGTACTTAGTACCAGCAGACTAGGGAAGCTAAATATACCAAATGGAAACAATGTCCTATTTTGAGAAATACCATGGTATGGCAAGAATCAAGCACAAAAGCCAGGCTCCTGGTTTCTTCATTAAGGTCCTGCTTCTTGGTGAACATGGGTCAGTACCTCCACAGACTCCTGTCTCTCCATCGGGGGAACTGGGATTTCTCTGTCCTTCTCATCCTCCTCCTCATCGTCTTCCTCCTCCAGGTCACTGTCAACTTCCTGGGAGCCGGGCCGGTGGGGGCCGGCCAAAGCCACAGGTACACTGGGCAGGGCAGGGGGCCCGAGACAGAGGCTGTGGCTGGGGGGCCCATCATCACTGACGAAGCAGGTCTCTTCACTGTTGGATGGCGAGCTGATGCTGTCAATACCGCTGTCCCGGTTAGGCACCTTCTCACCATCCCGGGGCCCAGGAGCCAGCAGGAACAGGCAGCGGGAGGCCTCGGCCTCTGGGAGCTGGGATACTGGTGGCTGTGGCAACATGGCTGGCTCTGGGGGACCTGGACAGGGGCCAGGGACTGGCCTATCCGAGGCGACAATCACAGGCTCTCTGAGGTGGGTGGTGGATACACATGGAGGCAGGATATGAGCTTGACTGAGAAGCCTCTCCTACAACTATCCCTTCCTGTCCCAGATCCACCCTTCCCACCACAGGGTTCTACAGGGACCAGACTCACCTTTCAAACTTCTCAATCAGTGAGGATACTGCTGCAGAGCTGGGGCTGGCCTCCACCCTGGGAGCCAGACCCTTAGCCAGTCGGGGGTCAGCAGGCAGTGGACGTGATGGTGGAGGAGGGATAGGCTCAGATGGGGGAGGCATCCGGGGCATCTGCAGATAGCTGGGCTTTGGTGGGACTGGAGAGACAGATAGGGAAGAGGAGAGACCTCAGTGAGCTAGGTTTAGAAGTGGCTGTCATGGTCAGGCTACACCTCCCTCCACAAACCTCAGTTTTTTGTTTTATTCTGGGCTTTTTTGCACAGAGCCATCCTGAGATCCCAGGCCACAGCCCGCAGTCTAGGTAGCACTGCCCCTGAGACCATGGAGCCTCAATGTTTTTCTAAAGAGCCCTCTCCTCTGCCAGCAATTAACTTCTCCCCTCTCACCTCCTCTGTCCCCTCCTCTGAGCTGTTTCTCTGCTCTTTCTGGAAGCACTTACCCTGTGGCTTTGGGCCTGGTGCCCGCTTCAGTGGCGAAGGACGCTGGCTGGGGGTTTCAGTGGGGGAGCCTGGGTCTGAGCGAAGCCGCTGGGGACCTTCTGGATGAGGCTCAAGGCTCTGGCCAGGGTCAAGGGACAAACTTTTAACCAGGATCCGATTTCCCTGGTGCAGCCCTGCAGAAAGGGAGAAACTGTGAAGTGTCTGACTTTCCTCAAAGGGGACAGGAGAATTGCATGTTGTCATGGGTGTCTGAGGTGTTGGGTTTCCCTGAGCCCCTTTGTTAGCTACATTGCTTTTCTGGGGAGCATCTACCCCAGCCCTCAGATGAGGAGCCAGGCTCAAGGCTTGAGGACGGCTGTTTTCATCAACAGATAAGAGTTCTTTATGATCGATACACTGAGTCCATGTATATCTGCAGGTATTACTACTAGGCAGCTTATCCAGGCTGGGGTTGGAAGCACTCTAAAGTTTGTGTATGTGTTTGCAGCCCTTGTTTACACAGCCACAATGGAAATTATTAGCATAAGCCATTCTTCATCCTACCTTTTAAGACCCTGAGAATATATGAAATTTTCCGTCTGCAATTTTGTACAGCAGAGTGTACTTAAAAATAATGAAACTGGTTGGGTGCAGTGGTATACACCTGTAATCCTAGATACTTGGGAGACAAAGGCAAGAGGATTGAAGGTTCCAGGACAGCTTGGGCAATTTAGTGAGAATCTGTCTTGAAATAAAAAGTAAAAAAGGCTGAGGATGTAGCTTAGTACAAAGGCCCTGAGTTCAATCCACAGAGAAAAACAACAAAAAACACACAAAAAAATTATTTCATGAGCAAAAGTTTTGCTTCTTAAAATCTCAACTTTTTTGAACATGGTGGCACATGCCTGTAATCCAGGCACCCTGGGAGCTGAGGCAGGAGAATTGCAAGTTTGAGCCCAGCCAGAGCAACTTAGCAACCTAGCCAGACCTTGTCTCAAAATATAAATTTGAAAGGGCTGAGGATATAGGTCAGTCCAAAGGACCTGAATTCAATCCCTAGTACTCGCCCCACACATATAAATCCCACCTTTGCACCAATCCGTACTACCCTCCTCTACTTCCACATCCATATACTGTGTACCCACACACATACCACCTTCAACACATACATTCAGCATTCCTGAGTTTATGTAACAGAAACAACTTTAAAACAGTAACAGTAAAGTCAGAAAAATGAGAAGCCTTTTGGTACCATCCCTCTTCCCTTACTATAGGTTCCCTGTAAACTCACCCGTTTTGGGCCCTTGAGGAGGTTATGGTCACTATTATGAGGGAAGATTCAGTCTAGGAGGCAGTGATGGGACTTCCCCTAATGGTTGACCTGTTGCAAGGGAATGAGGGAGGGGGGCTTAGATGGTCCAGGCTGGGCAGAGGGCTATAGGAGTGCCTCAGGTGACACAGAAGTCATGTAGGGTCAAAGAGAAGGGAAAAAACTTTGAATGCCAGGCTGAGTAGCTGTACATCCATCCTGTGGCAGAAGGGAACCATGAAAGCCCTTGTGTAGGGAGAGATGCAGGTAAGCAGGTGTGAGGATGAGAAAACAGTAGTTAAGAGTTCCCAGGGCTGGGGATTTAGCTCAGTGGTTTCACTGCCTGCTGCGCAAGCACAAGGACCCGAGTTCGATCCCCGGTACCAGAAAAAAAAAAAAAAGAAGGAAGCAAGATTAAAAAAAAAAAAAGAGTTCCCAGAGTCACCAATGGTACGTGCTGTCAATTATGCTGTACCACAGCCACATGGCCTCTCATAGCCACAAACTGTCACAGTCTCATAAATGACCACCCATAAATGGGCCCATGCAGTTATAAAAGCACATTGTGTAATTTACACTGTTTCACACAACTGTATGCAAGGCCACACAAATTCAAACATCCAAACACATGCCATAACCCCCCTGAAAGTGTGGTCATACACAAAGACCTGCAATACAATCTTACATATAATCACAGTGTCACGGTATCAGACATACCTTCAAACATGGTCATGCACAGTCATAAAAACACACACAGTAACATGACAATAGTTCTGTCATCTTATACAAAAACTACATACCCGTATACCAGCATATATCATCATATATCTCTTAAACATAGTTCCAATGAGTTACAAAGATATACAGTGTCATTTACACTGTAGCTCAAATTGGAGGGTCATGGAGTATCATATACACCATGATGTAACTTTGTTTTTTTATTTGTTTTTTGAGATAGAGTCTTGGTATATAGCCAGGGCTAGCGTCGAACTTGAGATCCTCCATCCTCGGTCACTCAAGTGCCAGAATTACAGGCATGTACCACCACACCCACCTCTCATATTGTACCTTTTGTGTATACCTGCAAACATGGTTATACACAAAGACTATAGCCAAACAGGGTCAATTATATCAGGTCAGATACAACCTCACACAATGGCGAAACAGCCTAAAGTCACATATTACCACCTAATCAGAAGCACAGACACAGAATCAAACACGAAGCACAATTTAATATGTCATACTCATGAAACAAACATGTCCATGGTTAAAAAACAAACAAATGACAAAAACATGTCCATGGTATCACAGGATCTTAGTTCAGGGTTACACAAAGACATAGGACACTTATCTCTTAATCTGAACAGTGTCACATGCTGCCTCTGCTGCAAAAACATACAGCTACAACACACACAGAGACATGTGCACTCTGGCTTATACAGTCACACAGGCAGAAAGAGACACAGGGGATTTTAGGTCTCCCTGTCTTAGAAAAAAAAAGGAATAGCCCTACTCTCGGGGTTATAGCAGCTTCCCTAGGCCTTTTACATGACCCTAAGGCCAGCCAGGTAGGTCCCAGGGAACTCAGGTCAGGGGCTTTTCCCAGCCCTAAGAGAACATGGTGCTCCAGATCCCAGCCCAAGGGCCCCTCCCTCCCCCTATACCTTGTTTGGGCACAGTTTCCTCACTTCCTTCCCCACCTGATCAAGCAGGGCCTGGCCAGGATGGAGGAAGTGCTTCTCTTGACTCAGCTGGGCTACTCATCCTGCCCTGTTCAGCACATCCTGGCTGGTTCTGCCCTGCCCTCCCCCTGGGCATGATGTTGAGGAGTATGAATCACCTGGAGGCAGCACAGGTGGAGACACAGTTGGAAAGACACATGGCCAGAGAAAGTGAGAGACACAGAGAGTAGCTGACAGGGCCAGAGAGCCAGGGAGCAAAACCAGGCATCCTGCCTGCCATGCAAACACAGTACCCCCTCAGACATACACACAGGTGCCAAGGTACCAGGGGCCCCTTGTCAGCCTCTTCAGCCCTGTGGCACATACCTGGCCCTTCTCCACTCCTCAAAGCAGGCAGGATCTGTCAGTCTATAGCAGGGCAACAGGATTCCCATGGGGCTTCTTTCCTTCTGCTCCACTACTGGTCCTCAGGGTAGAGTGACCAAACCATCTTCCATGGCCTTGTGCTAGCACCCTCTGCTCCCTCCTCACCCACCTCACCTGGGAGCCCAGAGGTGGGCCTGCCTCTCCCTCCAGGCAGCCTTATAGGATAGGAGGCTGAATGAAATTCCCAGATAATGGGACACCTATAGTGTCCCAGAGGAGGGGTATAGGGATCGTCTCCCCAGTTTTAGGTGTGGAAATGACGTCAGAGAGAGAAAGAGGCAGTGACTAGCCCAAAGACTCATAGGAAGTCAATGGCAGATGTTCAGGCAAAATGGTCCTGGACTGAACTTTCTTAACCCTGCTCCAAGAGGAAGCTGGAAAAGGGAGGAACCAGGAGGGACAGGTATGGACCCTAATGCTTTAGAAAATCACACAAAAAACTGCAGTGTGGCTCCTAAGAAGAACACCCCCAACACTGCCCATAAGAAGATGAACAATAGGGTTCCAGTTCGGGAGTCTAGGTCTGACCAAGAACCAGGCTAGTTTCCACTGAGGGGGAAAAGATTCAAGATCCCTTCTCCATCTCCTATTTCAGTACTCCCTATCCCTTCCCTTTGCCTACACTTCCTAGTTTCCTCCAAAGTTTTTCCTTATTGGCTCCCTTCTCCCCAGGGCTTGCTCAATCCTGGTGACTGGTTTTATCATATTGCTTTTTTTTTTTTTGGTGGTAGTGATACTGGGGATTGAACACATGCTAGGCAAGCACTGTATCACTGAGCTGTATCTCCAGCCCTTTGTATTTTATTATAATCTAGCTCTGATCATGATTTATCTGCATGAGAACCCTCCATAACTCCCTATTGACCATGGGAAAATAAAAACTTCTCATCCAGGCCTCTATGGCCTCTTATGGCCCTGATGAACTCTCTGGCTTTCCTAAGTTTAGTTTGGTCCCACAACTATTTCTGAGCCTGGTATACTTTGTGGTGGAGAATAAGAAAATCCTATTCCTGCCCTCAGGGAGCTCTCAGAGTAGAAGGACTTCCCTTTCCCTTTCTACAAACCACAGCCTTTCCCACTTACACATGCTAGCCACTACCCCATGACTACCACCAAACTAGGTCTTGCACTGTGTACTGGTTTTCTCCAGTCCATTTTTTTTTACAGTTTGTTATCTATGACATTCTCTTTCACACACATATATCTTCATCCACATCCCCTGACAAGATCCTCCACCAGCACTGCTCCTTCCACTACTGGGTTTACCAGTGTCTCCAATGCCCAACAGAGCAGAGGCCATCAAGGAGCCTTCCTCATACACATAAAAATCACACCACCAAATTCTACAATATTACAGCCATACACCAACTGTGCACAGCACTCAAAGACCCAGAGATAACTTCAGAGACATTCGACTTGTCCATATGCAATGCACCAGGCACAATTGATGCACACACACAACCATCACTCAGACATCTCCCTGGCACTGACAGGAAGCACACCCTAGGCATTCCAGGAGTGTCTGAGTGTTCCCCAGCTCTCTTGTGGAGGTGGAGGAGGGGTGTGCTCTCTCCTTGCCCCATCTCCACTCTCTGTAGGCCCTCAGCAAGCCAGAAGGGCAATCTTTTTAGGATAGAACACAGGGCGTTGCATGTAGGCAAGCACTCTACCACTGAGCTACACCCTAGCTTGAGGAAGGGCAATGTTGATCCTTACATTCAGGAAGCTCCCAATCTAAAAGAGAAGAGACACTCATTCAGGAAAAGCTAAGTGGTGG